TCAGGAAGGCCTTGCCGGCCTTGCCAAGTTCCTGAATGCCTCTGAAAACGAAAAGGAGGCTGCAAGTGAGGTCAGTCAGTGGATGACATCCCCTTCCCCCGAAAATAAGACCTGGTGCCTTTTTTGGTGGAAAAAAAATATAAGACGCAGTCTTATTTTCGGGGAAACATGGTAGGCTTTTAAAAATATATTGCAAATATCTTGGAGATGATCAATAAACAAATATTGCAATTAAAAATAATACTTAAAATGGCAGATTGATTAACTGTATTAAAAATGGCTGGACCCACTTCTACTTTCAGTTCTCTAGGAACCACTCTTTTTTTTACTCTTATTGTTGACCTCACAGTTAAGTGAAAAATGCAAGACAGTCCTTAGATATGGAGCTGTTTAATATGATAAGTTTCTACATTGTTCATGCACAGAGAACAGTTCAATCAGACTTCCATTTAAACTACCAATCATTATTACAGCGTTGAATTGGTTAATTATTATAAATGCTACATTTAATTTATATATTCGACCTATAGAAAGTGCCTGTTTTCCATCTTAAGATGTTATCTCAAATCAGGCCCCTGCAGTGATCCAATCTGAAACGGTAGCTTGGCTTGGAAAATTGTGTTACTCCATCCCAACCTTTAAAGTTAGGCATCCATTACCTGCTTTAATCAAGTGGAAAGGTGCTTCTGTACAGTTATACAGTAGTCAATGAGTGTAAAAAAAAATCTTAACATCTGGGTAAAACTAGGCTGACTGTTCCAATCTTGTATTTTGAAAAGTCCTTGAGTGCTCTGTGTCACAAGGATGCTTCAATTAAAAATAAATAAGTGCCAGTCAGGGGTTCCCCATGGACAACACTTGGCAGACAGCAAAGGATGAAGCAGTAGAGGCAGGAACAAGGGCACTGGGTTGGGCCTCTTATAGTCCATGACTTCCAAGCCCAGGCATCTGGGACTCTATGGATTTCTCCTCTACAACTATACTTAGTAGTATAAGGAAGGACCCAGTTGTGGGGGCAATAAGCTGACTTTGTATAAATATACAAAAGGATGAAGGCTATTGCTTAGCGCATTGTAAGCCGCCCTGAGTCTCCGGAGAAGGGGGGCATATAAATCAAATTTTAAATTTTTTTAAAAATTTTTTTTAAAAAAAAGGAATCAGTTTTTCAGCATCAGACAAGAAAATTGGGGATTATGGCTATTAACAGCATCTTAACAATCATTGTTCATAATTGTCCATTACATAGTTAATTAGCAACCTAGATAAATTTAACAAGTATGCTAGTTAGATCCACTCTTCTACGTTGATATTTATTTATTTATTTATTTATTTATTTATTTATTTATTTATTTATTTATTTAGTTAGTAAGTATACCGCCCTTCTCCCAGAAGGGACTCAGGGTGATGAACAGCCAAAATTAAAAAAAACATACAAATACAAAAGTTAAGATAATTAAAAAGAATTAAATAACTGGCTTCCCAATTTAAAACCCACAAATCCATAAAATTTAAAATCCCAATTAAAAACCATTTAGGCTAGGCCAGCTTGATGGAATAAAAACGTCTTCAGGGCTTTACGGAAGGTCCGGAGGTCTGGGATCAATCGTATTCCAGGAGGCAGCTCATTCCACAGGGCGGGTGCCCCCACAGAGAAGGCTCTCCCCCTGGGGGCCGCCGGCCGACATTGCCTGACCGACGGCACCCTGAGGAGGCTCTCTCTGTGAGAGCGTATTGGCCGGTGGGAGGTTATCGATAGCAGCAGGCGGTCTCGCAAATACCCTGGCCCTAAGCCATGGAGCCTTTAAAGATGAGAACCAACACCTTAAAGCGCACCCGGAAGACCACCGGGAGCCAATGCAGCTCGCGCAGGAGAGGTGTTACGTGGGAGCGCCACGTCGCTCCCATAATCACCCGCGCGGCCGCATTCTGCACCAGCTGGATTAGATTATTTATTTATTTATTTATTTATTTATTTATTTATTTATTTATTTATTTATTTATCATATTTTTATGCCACCCACTCTCCGAGGACTCTGGGCGGCTTACAACAATTGATTATACTAAATAGCATATTGCCCCCAACAATCTGGACCCAGACCCAGATTAAAGGTTAGGGCATAAGTTTCCAGTTCATGATGTATTATATTGAATTGAAGTGAAGTGAATATTTATTTGGCCAAGTGTGATTAGAGCAGGGGTGTCAAACTTGATTTCATTGAGGGCCACACCAGGGTTGTGTTTGACCTCATGGGGCAAGAGTGGGCGTAGCCAGGATGGGTGTGGCCAGTTCAATGTCACTTGTGTGTGTGTGGGTGCCTGTGGTGGCCCGAGCGCTCTGCCAGAGAAAACGGGATTCCAAGCTCCATTTTTGGCTGCAATCCTCTGCCAGCAAAAATGGAGCTTGGAAGGGCCATTTGCAGCCCTCCTGAGTTCCATTTTTGCTGGCAGAGGCACCACAGGCTGGTCCTTCATTGTTTCCAGGGTGGCCCTGCGGGCCAGATTTAAATACCCCACGGACCAGCTCCAGCTCCGGCTCCTGGGCCTTGAGTTTGATACCCCTGGATTAGAGGAATTTGTCTCTGGGGCAGAAGCTCTCAGTGTACATGCAAAGCAACAAAATCATCATCATCATCATCATCATCATCATCATCATCATCATCATCATCTCAATAAAAGGGGGAAGTAAAGAAGATAATAAGAGGAATAAATAATACTACAGACATGCTACGTGCGTAAATACATGTAGACATATTATTCACAGATATCATGATCCTATGCTATACATGGAATTCTTAGACTTGCACATCCATCAAGCTTGATTAATGGAGACTACATTAACATGTCTGTTATGGTGACAACAGTAAAAAAAAGTAACTTGCTATCTACTGGAAATTTTGTGATTTTTATTTTCCAGTCTGGTCTACAATCCTGTGATTTCCTGGTGATCTTGGAAGGTAAGCAGGGATAATTCCATATAATACTTGGATGGAAGTTGAAAATTCTGGGCTATAGGCTGGACTGGGATATTGGAAAAACAGTTTGGAAGAAGGCCTTCACACTTTCTTGTGTAATATTGCTGAAAAACCCTGCATCAATGGGGTCTCCGGGGTCAACCTCGATTGTGTACAAAAGGAAAGATTTCCAATCTATTCCACTTTAGTGTGTGACTCAGAAAAGCATTCTGGCATCATTAGCACTAGAAATTCTTGTCAGTGCAAGGAATTTAACTATCATAGTTAAAAGGTTATTTGTCAGCAAAATAAAGAAAGTCATTCTTTATCCCAGTAAGAATCAGGGGGGAGAAAAAAGAGAAAGAGAGAAAAAAGAGTTGAAGAACCATTATTTCTGCGTTTCAGTTACTGCTGAGCTGTAGCTTGAATATTAACATCCTGGTTTGCAAAATAGACCTTCTTTTATTGTGAAATCCAAAAGCTTTATTTCACTTGACAGTAATTCACAGTTTTCCTGCTAGTTAAATATTTTGTATACCAAGTTAAATGTACTGAGGTATTATTTAAGCACATTGTGATTCTGTCTATTCACTGGGAAAAAGATATGTTTTTTTGCCGCAGATAACTGCAGGAGGGAATGGGGAAGAATAAGCGGTAATGTAGGGTGCCATGTATCTATAGACTAACATAAATGGCATAAAGGAAATTTGCAAACTTCAGATGGCAAAAAGGAGTGACAGTGAATAATGGGGATAAACAATAGGACTCAGTTTTTATATAAATATATATAAAATTAGTTATTTAAGAAGCCTGAGCCCGTGGAGAACCCGACTTTCAGATTCTCTGAAGCATGCCAACTTTTTAAAAAGAAAAAGCAGGTCAACCTGTTTTTTTTTTTAAATTAGAAAACTGTATCTTTTACTAAATTCCTCCTCCTCTTCCTCCTCCTCCTCCTCCCCGCCTTCTCCAACTCCAACTCAGAGGAAAAGAGTTCCTCATCTCTTTAAACAAGTTGGCTCAGTGGTGAACCATTCTCATTTAAGAAGCTCTTTAGGGTTTGCCAAATTGCAACTATCGCTGTAAAACTCTGAAGCACAATGGAACATTTATGATTAGTTTCCTTCTTTCTTTGTCACTTGCTGTTTGGTATTTCTAAGGTCTTGATCTTTACTGCGGTCAGGAAAAGAAAACTGGCAAGATTTGTGAAAAAGTTCATGAACGTGGCTTCTGTATTTCTAGTGTAATTGGTAGCCCTAAAGCTGCAATACAAATCACAAGCAAACTGCTAATCTTGCTCCTCTTAATGAATAGGGGAAATCTGTCACTTTAAGGCAGGGTTTCTTAGCCTCAGCAACTTTAAGATGTGCGAACTTCAAATCCCAGAATTCCCCAGCCAGGCATGTTAACAGCTACCTCACGTTGAGAAACACTGTTCTAAGCCAAATGTAAAGTTCTTATCTACAAATAGCTGCCCCTGTCTACTTGTAGAGCTAAATTACACAAAGATATATATATATATAAAAGTGGTGAACAACTGGCTTAATTTTTTCAAGGAAAAAAAAATCTTTGACTTTTCTTTTGAAAAAAACAAACAAACCCAAACCACTAAGTAAAGTACATAAATCAGTCCCAATTTTAGGATGCAGTAGAATGAGCCAAAAGCTGAAATCACTCTAAGGCAGGGATGAAATCCAGCAGGTTCTGGAGAACCGGTAGCGGAAATTTTGAGTAGTTTGGAGAACCGGCAAATGCCACCTCTGGCTGGCCCCAGAGTGGGGCTGGAATGGAGATTTTGCAATATCCTTCTCCCCGGAGTGGGGAGGGAATGGGGATTTTGCAGTATCCTTCCCCTGCCACTCCCACTAAGCCACACCCACCAAGCCACGCCCACAGAACCAGTAGTAAAAAAAAATTAGATTTCACCACTGCTCTTAAGGTGATTATTTTTCATATCCTAACAATTCTGTGGTAAAAGTCTTTGTAAAACAAATCCATTAATCCCAAGGATTTTTCTAATGATCAAGAAAAAGGTTGGGCTATCGACTTTACCTTATGAATGCCGATCTGGGATTCTTGCACGTTGTTCTCAGACCCGTTACTTCGGTTAATCATCTGCCACAACTTCGAATACATGCTGTTCTTCTCAAAAGGATTCATTCCTTTCACCCGTACATGTTCATAGACTGCAGAATCCAAAACGGTGCCGTAAGGAATATCTGTCTGCCGGGAGAGATCTTGAAGAGACCTTAAATATTAGAGAAGACAAGAAACACAAGATATTTTTGATTCCACATTTCCAGGCTATTGGCAAGCAAAGGACAGCATGTATGACAACAGCTCTTAAGGCATTTTGATTTTGTTTTTATATGATTCTTAAAAGTCAAAGCAAGGCTAGGAGAATTGTCTTTATGTTTTAAGACACAAGGGAAAGAACAGAGCTACAGGGTAAGAGAGAGAAAAGAAAGGATTGGATTCTTCTTTTAAAAAAAATAAGAGAGAGAGAGACCTACACAAATCAGGGCAGGTCAGCTTCTTTTAAAGAGCAACATAGAAGGAAAAGTTCAATATTATTTATTTCATTCATATCCCACTTTTGAGATTTAAGGAACATGCCATTCCCAAAGTGACTCACCATTGCAGTATTTTTTAAAAATGGAAATGGTAATTGACAGTTTAAAACCTAGCATCATCCAAAAGAAAACCAACAAAAGAAAAGAGCAAGGGCAAAAATTGATTGGTTTCATTTATCTGTCCAATTTATATGACACCTTTCCATCAGACAGCCCTCAAGATGTCAAGCAATAACCAGAAGTAGGAATCATACCATTATCATCTATTTGATTTAGCCACTGGACATCAAAGTAAAAGCACTCCTCTAGCACTGATAAATCACATCTCTACAAAGATTGTTTATATCATAAACACAGCAAACCATTCCTTAAGTTACTTTTCTTACATTAAAGTGCTAAAAGGGACAAAGCATCAATAAACAGGGCAAAACCAAACTTCAGTATCTCTATAGTCAGAAGAATTAGCTGGAGGAACATGTGAAAAATCACCATACTACAGATACATAGGAATTATGAGTCTGCTTTCTGTGGGTCAACCTACTGATTCAATTATTTCAGCTTTATTTACACTAATAATGCATGCCTCCCGCCTTTCTCCATTGGCTGGAGACCCCCTTGTTAACAAATAGGCAGCAAATCCCTGGATACAACTGTAGTTGTCAAGAGCTGTCTCCAAGGCAGCTTTTTTGCTGCTGCTGCTTCTGCCAGCAAAGCAGCAGCGACAACAACAATGATTTGATGTAGTAAAATATTAGAAATATTAGTGAATAACTGAAGAAAGAAACAGCCTTCGGTAATAAAAACAAACGAAATAACGAAAAAAATATGTTTTTCTTGGGTGAAGTAAATGAGAACTCAGATCTTTGAGTGATCAAACAAGACAATAATCTTCACCATCAATAAGACAATAAATTCATTGTCAAGAATTTATAATTGACATGTACAGCTTGTTTTTTTTTTTTTACTAAAGTGAACATACAGATAGTCCTTGACTTATAACAGTTCATTTAGTGACCGTTCAAAGTTACAATGGCACTGAAAAAAAATGATTTATGACTGTTTTTCACAGTTTTACGACCTTTGGAACAACCCCGTGATCTTATGATCAAAATTCAGATGCTTGGCAACTGGTTCATACTTATGACCGTTGCTGTGATTATCTTTTGCAAGCTTCTGACAATGGGCAATGGGCAAGCCAGATTCACTTAACAACCATAACTTAACAACTGCAGTGATTCACTTAACAATTGTGGCTAGAAAGGTCATAAAAGGGGGCAAATGTCTGACTTAACAAATGTCTCACTTAACAACCAAAATTTTGGGCCTAGTTGTGGTCTTAAGTCAAGGACTAGCTATAATCAGTTGTCTACTCCAGCTACTGGTGGAGAGCAGATAAATCAGTGAACAATTAGTACATCAAGTTTTAGTATGGCCTGGTCACTGCAAGATAATTGTGTTATGCTGAATTTACGGATTTACAGATTAACAGAGTTGGAAGGGACCTTGTAGGTCATCTAGTCCAACCTCCCACCTAAGCAGGAGACCCTACACCATTTCTAACAAATGGCAGTCCAATCTCTTCTTGAAAGTCTCAAGTGATGAAGCTCCCACAACTTCCGAAGGAATTGGTTGATTGTTCTCACTGTCATAAAATCACTCCTTATTTCTAGGTTGAATATCTCCTTGTTCAGTTTCCATCCATTGCTTCTTGTCTTCGGATGTTTTGGAAAACAGGTTGATTCCCTCTTCTCTATGGCAGCCCCACAAATATTGGAAGACTGCTATCGTGTCTCCCCTGATCCTTCTTAAGCATACTTAAACTTAAACATGATTCATTTGTTATTAGTGGTAGTCATCTCTTGCAGTTAATCAGCTCATGAAGTATCTGATGTCATATGTAATGGGAACCAGAGAAAATCTAATAGTAAATTTGGTCTTAACAGGGTAATCACTATCTTCCTCTATAGAAAAGTTGATTTTAACATGGTAATCACTGTCTTCCTCTATAGAAAGGCCATGGAAAGGAAACAATAGTGAAATAAGCATCTTCTCAAATGTTGATAGTGAGAACAGTGGTAAATTATAATTGTTTGTCTTTTCTTGTCAGAAATTACATCTTTGTAACCAAGGAACACAAACCAGCTCTTGCATGTTATCAGCAATTATCACAATGAATGGTTTTGAAATAAAGGTGAGAAAGAAAAGGAAAGAAGTTACAGAAGGCTACCATTTGTTAATGTGTATCTAATCAAAGAATACAAGCTATTTTTTTAAATAAAACAACTCTTTGAATACCCATTAGAAGTGGTACTATTATACCTGGGACACAAAACAAAGAAAGCTTAGAAAATAAATATCCGCAGACCTTTCTGATAAATTTAGTATCATTTTATTTCTCAGCCCAACTCACTTCACAGGGCTATTGTTGTGGGGAAAATAGAAAGAGGCAAGTATATAATGCATGTTTGCTGCCTTGAGTTACTTACGAAGTAATAAAGCCCTGGATAAAAACCTAATAAATAAATAAAATAAAAATGCATGTAATATATTATTAAATCTCTGCATATTCAATGAAAAGTGGAACTGCACTTGTTTAAGTAAAACTACATATTTGCACGGATACAAATTTTAAGCACAGATGGTAGTAAATATACTGTATAGTCTAGGTATTCAGCATCTTAAAATCTTTAATCTGAGCTCTCTCAAAAATAACTATCAAACTGGATTTTTAAAGGACAGAATTGGAAAATTATTTGCTACCTGAGCAATGTCTGTCTGTCTGTCTGTCTGTCTTCCTACCTATCATCTATCTATCTATCTATCTATCTATCTATCTATCTATCTATCTATCTATCTATCTCTATATACATATATAATATATACACACATAGATACATACATACATACATACACACGAATTGTGTATAAGTGCACTGTACATCCCTCAAAGATGTGAGAGACAGGTTTGCAAGGTAGTCTCTACATTAACGTTTCTTAACAATAATTTTGGAAAGCTTAAAATATGTGGACTTCAACCCCAGAATTCCAAAGTTGCCAAGATTGAGAAACATTGCTCTAAATGAGACAGTTTGTCATAAATGGAATAGTGCAAGCATGTATTTTGGGCTGTACTTGTGCTTGTGGCATACTGGTCAATCTAGTCAAAATTGATACTGTTCTTATCATTAGAAAAAAAAAAAGGTTGTATTGGCATGGGTATGATTTTTGGCTAGTAACCTCTATATTACAGTATTATATTAAAGTACTATATGAAAGCCTTGATTGATTAAAGCCATGATGAGCATTGGGGCATAGACAATATTTATGTGAAATAGGCTGTGGGTCAAAGTGTGTGTGAAAGGATGATTGCTGTAAAATAACAGAACAAGAGAAATATACTGCCAAAAGTGTATAAGGAGAAATAGTTGCAAAGACTGAAGAAGCTACTTGGATAAGCAGTTAAAAGTTTCAAACCAAAAAAAAAAGAAGACCAGTGGCCATGACTCAATTTCCAGACAGTTGCAAAAGGTCTGGAAATTGAGTCATGGCAACTGGTCTTCTTTTCTTATACAAAAGCAAAAACAAAACCGAGGGACTGTTATGATTAAAAAACTGAGAAAAAATGCAGAATATGTTGGGGAGAAATTAAAAAAAAAAACTTTAATTGGGTAAACAGAAGCATCCAGTAGAATATGATTAAAAACAAAAATGATGCAATCATTTGAAATAGGGTTGAAATGAGAAGAACAATTGGAAGAACAATTAGTGATAGAGTTTTATTTAAATGAATGCTGTCGATGTTAGTGTGCAAGAAAAAATATGAACAGGAAGCCATCGGACTGTGAAGATTTTGAAAAAAGGTTGCAGTTGCAGATGGTTTAATTTGAAAAAAGTTGAAATGCTTGTAGAGATATTGTGCAATTCATTCAAATATGTGTGAATCTGTACTGGATGATTGGAAGAATGAAGAAGGGGAAGTTAGTGAATGCAAAAACTTGTCAAGCCATTTGTTTGTTAAATATACCTGGGAAGATATTTGTCAGAAGTCTGATCAAAAAGGGACAATGAACAAAATTTGGGAATTTGATGTAGTTTTATCCTGGAAAGATGACAATGGTAACCCACACCCTTTGTTTTGGCTGGAAAGGGTAGCGAGTCATGAGGCAACCAACACCAACAAGTTCTAGCTTCTGGGCTGAGTACCAAACAAAAGACGAGTAGTGGGACAAAATTTTCCCACCAAAATGTGTTGAGTACCAAATTCAATGAGTTTCAAAGCAGTCAAATACCAAGATATGACGTTGTGAAAAGGAAGGGATGACATTGCTTTCATAGTCAAAAGGACGTAATGACGACAGCAGGATGCAGTTAAGTGACCAAATAACATCCCTTCCATTTTGGGGGCAACCTTTTAATATGATGATTAGCCATGTTTATGCTCCAACCATTGATGCAGAAAAAGAGAAGGTTGACAGGTTTTATGATCCTTCTTTATGATCCCCCTTATGAACTTCAGTTCAATCTGAAGTTGCCAGAATACGCAAGCAAAATGCCAAAGTTGGAAATAAGAAGGAGAATGTAATTAGACTGTATGGCCAAGGCAAGTGAAGTGATGTAGGAGAATAACTTATCAGCATCTGCCAACTTCTTCACAGCTAATACAATCGTCCAACAA